GTATCTCCCCTGCCAGGAATCCACCTGCCTGGCTGGAACAGGTAGGTGCAGCTCTGTAGCCCCCATTAACCCCAGAGCATCCAGGGCCAGTAGCGGCGGTGGGTGGGAAGGCAAGGGTGAGAAGGAGGGAAAGAAAAGTGTTGATGTGTCAAAACTTACTGCCTCCCTCCAGCTTTGCAGTGGGGTGGCAAAGAACGAGTAGGGAGATTAGGGCTTCCCCTCCTGCTGGCTCTTATAGAGAAGGCCCATCTGCTTGCAAGGCGTATAGCACGTATTACCCATGTAGCACGTCCTTCTAAGAAGCCACCACTTGTCATCCTAACCAGAAGCAGGCTGGGGCATCAGTTGCGTAAATGAATTGCAAAGTCATGTTTTCCTGTAAGCTGCTCGTGTGCATTCGCTTCTTTTTTGGTAATGTAGATATTTGCAAAGGGCTTTAAACCCAGCATGCAACTTCCTCCCTGGTGATAACGCATGTGCTGTTGCTGAGCCTGAGCCTGCAGCAGGATGTGTTTTTACTTTCCTTTTAGCAACACCCATCTGACAGACCCAGCAAGTCAGCAGGGGCGGTCTCAAAATGTGTGGCTTGGGCAAAATGCAGAAAGACACTTGTGAAAATGCATTTTGCTGTATTTCTGTGAGAGAGGCAAGGGTTTCTTAGGGTGATATCTTTTCTTGGACTATGTTTCTGATCAGTTCTAGTGTGGGGTGGTAGGGGACTACCAGGGGGTGCAGTTGTATGTGTGTGTGTGTGTGGGGGGGGTCTTTTTGTTCTGCAGCAGGTTACTGTGGGGGATTTGGGGAGCTCTTTTCAAATGTACAGTCTGTTTCTCTACTGGAGTGGCCTTGTGGTAAGGGGGCAGACTTTAGGCTGGTCAGGTGGGCATCGTGGGTGTGCTCCGCTGTGCAGATGCAGTTGTATCCAAGGGCCTCGTTGTGGGTAACGGCTTTTTTGGTGTGCGTGGCAAGATTACTGGTCTCGTGGATGTAGAGATGGTGGCCTTTAGGTTTTCTATATATAGTGGTTTGTAGGTTGCCATCCTGTGTAGTGTGTTGAAAGTAGGTGTTAGTGCAGGCATATTCCAGAGAAGGCTTAATGGAGGAGTGATGGTTAAACCTGCGATGGTCACATAAAAGATGTCACCCTAAGAAACCCCTTGCCTCTCACATAATTTCTGGACCATCGTGGCTACAGCAACACTCTTACGCTACCTGTATGTCTGTGTCAGCGATGCCTCCCTGCTGCAATTGTGAACAAAGCGCTGGGATGAAACAGGAGAGAAAAATTAACTGATGATCTGAAGAGCTTAGACAAAGCAAAACCATCCCAGCCCTGTCACACAGACTGGACTGCAGCCTCAGCTCCGAAATGCCATGAACAGCGGGCATGAAAATAATGGCGCCCTTGCAGGATGCCCTGGGATGGGGGGCGCAGATTGTGGAGCCCCCGATCCTGTGTGATCTGGGACTTGAAAACCGGAGTTCTCTGCCCTCCACCAAGCGCCTAAGGTAAAACGTTTGCAGTGTTTGCTCACTGATTCCCCGTGCTCGACTGGAGTCCGCGGAGACCCAGCCTCCATCGCTCTTTGTCTTGGAGCATCTTGGCGGGGCCGCAGGCTGGGACCCCAAGCTGAGACACCAGAACTGGGACACGGCAGTGGGAGGGCAGCAGTGGCTGTTGGGGCCCTGGGCAAGAGGGTCATTTGGGGCTTCTTAGAGGTTTAATTCTGAGGACCTATAAGCAAGTTGGACATTTCAATTTCACTTTGCCCTAGCCATGAAACTGCGATGATGGTATCTTTATGCAATATTGATAATACAAATATTCAGTGTGATTAATCTCTATAAAGCGTGGGGCCCTGGCGGTTGCCCAGTTTGCCCTCCCTTAAGGCAAACTGGGGAGGGTCCCTTGTGCAAGCGAAGGGAGTTTGCTCTGACAAGGTGCAGCAGCTGCCCTGAGAGGCCGCACTGGTGGAGACCGGGCCTCAGTCGCGGTTCCGCACTTTCCCCCCGGTCCCTAGCCCGAGCCGCCGGCCAGCCCCGCTCGCTCCCAGCAGCTCCTCGAGCCCCCCTCGCCTTGCCTGCAACGAGACACACCTCTGCCGCCTCATTGGGCAGCTCCCCCCGCTGATTTGCATAGCTCCCTGCCTGCCAATCAGGCGCCGCTAGCTGTTTTGCATATGGGACGCCGGCCACTCAGCGAGCGCGGGGGCCGGGCCACCACGTGCTGTTGCTAAGCTTCGGCTTCTAAATTGTTACTATCGCGGCCAGCCAATCGCTGCGCCGCTCGGATCTGTCAACATTCTCTCCCTGAGCCAGGGGGGAAGGGGAGGGGGGCGCTCCCTTCTCTCGATTGGCTGTGCCTCGGGTACCAGGCCCGCCCCCCGACAGAACCTCCGCGGCCCATTGGCCGGCGCGGCTGCCCGTTACTTTTGTGTCAAAGTAGTTTATATAGGGGGACTTGGAAGTCCCCAGCGCTGAACCCGGAGCGGTGGCGGGCGCTGCGGGGCTGGGGCAGAGCCGTCAGCGCACAGCGCGCCATGGAGCTCAACTCCCTGCTTATCCTCCTGGAAGCAGCTGAGTATCTGGAGAGAAGAGACCGAGGTACCGCGGGGCTGCGGGCAGATGGTCCCGCGCCCTCCTGCCCCGGCTGCCTCCGTGCACGGGGCGCTCCCGCGCGGGTGGGGGGGGGTTTCTTTCCGAGGGAGGGTGCTGCCCCTGCCCCTGCCCGGAGAGATGCGCGGGCGCCGCTGACGCCGACTTTGTCCCCAGAAGCAGAGCACGGCTACGCCTCGGTGCTGCCCTTCGACAGCGACTATTCCCGCAAGAAGAGCAAGGGCGGCCCCATGGCCCGGAAATCCCAGAGCAACAGGTAAGGGGCGCGGGGCCGGGGACCCTGGACCGCCCCGTGCGGGCTCCCCCCGCCTCGCGGCGCCATCTTCCCCGGCTCTGTTTTGATCTGCTATAAACACTGCCACGCGTACACCGCCTCGGCGCTGCGGGCCCTGCCCCGCTCCCGGGGCCGCCGCTCGCGGCCTGCCCTGCCCGGCTCCCCCGCCCTCCCGCGACCCCCCCCGGTCATTTCCAGGCAGCAAATACCCCCCTCCCCCGCGCACCCCTTTGCTTTTTTGTTTTTCCACAGCTGGGACCCAGAGGAGCCGCCTGGCTGCTGCTGAGGGAAGGAATGTAGCAAATATTGAACTTGAACTTGCCTGCCTCTTTTATTTATTTTTTTTTAAGTGCTCGGGGTGAGCTGGGTCTGCCGCGGTCTGACCTCTGTCCTCGGCGCCTGCCTGGTGGTTTTTTCGGCCGTTCCTGCGGCGGCCCCTACCTGTGCCGCGAGGGCTTTGGCCGTGCGCAGGCTCTGCCGGGCTGCCCGGGCAGTGCCCAGGGTGCTGCGTACGTGTGGCGGGCGCTCCTAAAGATGCAGCGCCTCCTGATGTGGGAACCTCCTTCGCTGACCCTGTAAGGTCCTTTCCCAGAGCAGCAAATATGCCCAGATGGGCACCGCCACCTCCTCTGACATGTGGGGGCGTCTCGCCCCACAACATGTCTCCTTCACAAGCGTGGGGGTTGTTGCCAGTCCCTCCGGAAGATGCATAAAGGATCTCGACTTGCATGGGGTTTATTCTCCAAATCAGAGAAAAGTTGGTCTCAGCATGCAGGTTATGGCAGTGCTCCAGATTTACACTGGGGAAATGGAAGATGGAAAATGGCCCGGTGGTGGTTAGTTAATTTAAAAAGCAGTCGTGGCCCTCATGACATCTACCACTGCGTGCAGCTACCACTGCAGGGCAACGTGGAGGAGTAAGGGGACTAAAATCTTCCCCCATCATGCACTTAAAACCAAGCTGATACCTCTGGGTGTAGGAATTACAGCATTGCTTTTTATTAAGTGCCATATCCCACACTAGTGTGTAAAAACCTCTCTAGATGCTTTCCCAGGAGGGGGTTTAGGCATGTTATAGAGACAGGTTTTTCCTAGCAGATTCGCTATTTTGTGCGGAAGGATAAATACGGTTTTGGAAGATTAACCCAGGCAACTAACCTGAGCAGAACTTGATGCTTTCCAGCTGTATTGTTCATTGCTTTGTCCCAAGCCCCATTTCTGCCCTTTGTGTGCTAGAAATCTTTATTACTAGGGGAACCATTGGTCCATCATTTCTCTTCTTGGGTTTCTCGCTGTCCACTGCAATGAAGTCATTTGTTTGGATTGTAAGCTGCTTTCGTGAATTTTTAGGAGAGGATTTGTAAGCTATCAAATGTGATAGAATTAATATTTCTTCTTACAGATTGGTAGCATTATTAAAACAAGCACACATCCCTGCTTGCAGTTCTCGTTCTGCCTCCCTGATGTTTCTCAATTTTTTTGTTCCAGTCTGATTCTTGTTAAACTCTCATGTGATTGTTATGTATTTAAAAAGGCATTTCTTTTCTGTTAGCAGTATTTATTATAGACGGGAAGGGTAAATTCCTACAGTGAGGCAAACTACCTCTATAGAGGGGATTCAAATGTGGCTGAGGTCATGGATTTGGTCACACACTATAGTTCCTTGTGAATATTTGTCTACATGCAGGGAACAAACATGCTACTGAGCAGCCCTCCAGTGTGCCAAAATAGAGGCCTCTAACTGGAAATAGCCCTGTGGTACAATAAAGAATCGAGGCCCATGGGCAGTGTTTCCTGAGGACTTCAGTGTGTGATTGCCTACTTTGCCTGTTTGTATCTGTTATAAAATGCTAGACTTTTCTCAAGAACTTAAATTTGGGTCGGGGGAGCAGAGCGGGAGATGTACATTTGAACACATGATCACCTGTTTAAACAGCACTGTTGGAGCCAGCTATTGTGTATAAAGCCTTAGAATTTGATTGTAACACTCACTAAGACCATACAATCAAATCTTCAGAAAGCAATTCAAGGATTAAGAAGGATAGACAGCAGGCCAGAATTTAGAGGGTCCTGGGTGGTGCAAGATAAAATGATCCAAGTCAGGCCTGGTGCTGGCCAGAATGTGGAACTCCAGATACATGCAGACATGACTGTGTCCATGTCTGGAGAGCCCCACCTTAGTGTCATGATTTAAATAGTGTGTGGGGGGGGTGAGGGTGGGAGAGTAGCTCATCACATGCTGCAAAATTACAGGACGTGATCTTTTTTCCAATAGCTTGGTTCTTTTGCAGCCCCATTGTTTCCAGGATCCTCAGGTCTGAAAACTGACCTGTGATTGGATTGTCTTGGGTAGAAATAAAATCACACAAAGAGTTACTTTAAAGCATGAGGAACATCTTTTTAACGTTGGGATCATTCAGAGCTCGGGAAAAGAACTGTGAAAAACTTAACCAACCTTACATTTTTAGAAATAAGTATGAGAAATTTCCATCCAAATTACACTTCCTTTTAAAAGTATGGGTTACTGGAAACAGGTGCTTATAGGGAAAAGTGCCTCTTCAGTCCTGCCTTTGATCACTCCTGGCATGCTGGAAGGCTTGACTGTCAAACCACTTGTAATTTTTGCATTTGTTTGCTGTTGATTTTGATCACATTAAAATTTGTCAAGTAATCTCTTTATAGTGCAAGGGAAAACATGGTCATGCAACATGAAAGCATCAGTTTGAACACCACGTTCTACCATATTTGTCCCATATCTGTATCATATATCACACTTGTTTATGTTGAGCTGGTCTGCACATTCCCTTTTTAATGTACAGTTCCCTACCCTAGTGTGAGCCTGTTTATGCTTTCCTACTTCTCACAAAGCAGATATGAAGATTATTTTTCTGTGCTGTTTCTTTGTTCATACCATGTCTTCTATTAACGTTCAAAAGTGTTCTCCTCGGATACTGTTGACCAAAAAAATGCAGTAGCAGATGAGATGGGATTTTTGTTTTTTAGTCAGAATGGATGATTTGAGGCCCGAGCCTGTAATGGTCTTTCCAGGGGAGGGGAGGTAAAACTAGGTATGGTGGTGTAATATTGAGAGCTGTGAACTATTTGATTATTGTGCAATAAATATCTTCTTTTGCTTGAATAATAACCATAATTCCTACAAGCAATGCAGTGGGGTACATTCAGATCCTTGCTAAGGTAGTCAGAATGAAAACAGGCTTAAAGAAAGAATATCCAGATATAATCAAGTTGTGCCTCTGGGGTTTTACTAGCAAATGTTAAACATTCAAATGGCTTTTTCACCGAGTGCAGTTTGATGCAGTGAAATGGATGTATTGCAGATGTCGACAATACATTCAGAGGGAATAGTTGAAAGAAACAGTGAAGTTCAGGAGTAAAGCAGTCATTACTGTCGATAGGAATAGATTGTAGTTTGCAGATGATTCAAGCTTTCTTGTTTTGTTTCCTGTTTGTAATGACGACCTAGCAGAGAGAAACCTATGGAATTTGGTGCCTATATAAAAGGAAGAACTGGTAGTTTGAGCTGAGCCCCTGGGGACACTATCCCACATCACCCCCCATGAGGTCCTGGAGTCTGATCGACACTCCCTTGCACCGTGATCTGTCTCTTCCACCTGTCTAACACTCTGCTATGATCAAGCAGGCTCCTTTTACACTGACTTCATGAGTCTAAAAGACTGTACCAAGCAGTGGGAGATAAGGCCTGATGTATGTCTTGTGCCCCTGTGAAAGGATCAAAAATGAGGTAAAATGCAGACTAAAAACCTTACTGTTAGATACCTATCAACTGAGGTCACTGCTAAATGTACTGGTAGAGCAGGGATTTGGATGTCTGTGGTGTAGTCTGTTTGCCCTGGTAACTTGAGATGTGAAAAGGAAGGAAAATGAAAGCAAAATGTGGGTTTATAACACATCCTCTGTATCTTTTAAAATGAGCCAATATTTATATTAATGTTTTGTATGGGGTGTATGATATGCTGTGCTCTGTCAAAGGTGTATGTATTAAAGAGAGCATTGGGTCAAAACTGCATTGGAACCGGTGTTAGGATCCAGATCTTTTAGTTTAACGTTGGCCTGCTGTGACTAGCAGCAGTGCCCGCACAGAGCAACGCAGGGATCAGGGCCTGTTTCTGTTTGTTTGTTTGTTTGTTTGTTTGTTAAATGAAAATCCGAGAGGAAAATTCCTAAATCCGGAATGAGAAAACCCTGTGTTTCTAGTTTTGCAAAGCTTGGGTGGATTTGGGGGTCAAGTGATTCCCAAATCCTTTAGCACATGTCCCTTAGCAGGCAGGTGTGCTAGAAGGAGCTCCACGAAAGTGGAACAAGACCTTCAAGTTGAAAGTCTGCAATCTTCTCTCTCTTGCTATCTGCATCTCTGCTACATTGTAGACTCTCTTTAGGTGATCACATGCCATTTCTTAAACAGTATCTTGTTACATTGTTTGTTTGTTTGTTTGTTTGTGTGTGTGTGTGTTTGCCTCTTCTGTCTTCCCTTGTACCCCAGCCTGGATAAGTGTTTTGGCATTTTGTGAAACCTTCCACATGTTTTTCTTATGTTTTAACCTGGACTCATATTTCTGCTATATTTTCAGTGCAGAAACTCTCCCTCTTCCTCACCTGGCCTTGAAAATGCTGTGTGGTGCTGGGTGGGATTTCTTGGTATGGCAGACCCTTCTTGAGTGACTTACCTGTTGACCCCAGGAAAATGGCTCACTTTAGTGCTCTCAAGCCTACGCTAGAAGGCCCTAGCATAGGCAGACTGGGAACCACCATTTTAAAGATGCTATTGTTTATGCTTGTTGCCATACGTGTGTGAGCAACACTGGGAGCTGTCAGGCAAACATCTGGCAGACACCACTGTTCTAAACACCACATCTGCTACTGCTAGGCCCATCTACTTAATGAGAACATTTCAGATGAGGTTTCTAATGTATTACTTTTTGTGGCTGTTTTGACCTGCAGTGGTTCCTAGATCACAGTGGTTCCTAGAGCACAAGGTACAACAGGAGGATGCTTCAGATGGGTGGAAAGAGTTGGAGAAGATTATTTCTGTGGGCACACAGAACTGAGCTTGCGGCCAGCAAAGCCCTTGTCAGCTAGTAGGCAAGGCCTTAGTGTGTTAACTCTTGACTCGGGTGCTTCCTGACTTCATACTGCTTACACAGGTAGTCTCAAGATTTCAGTGATGCTGCGACTAAAATGTAAGTTGCTAGGAATATTCCTCTCTTTAAACAGGGGAAAAAGAGCTTCTGTCTCAAGCATTGGGAGCCTCTGCTGGCTTGTAAGATGTTGCAAAGACAGCATGTAAATTCTCTAATCAATAATTATTTGGCTATACAGCACCTGGCTGCAGTTATGCCTGATACTGGGTTGTGAACTACAGAAGAAAACATCTCTTCAAGCTTTATTTGGCAATTTGTGTATTAGTAGAATCAGAGCATAGACTTTCACACCCATTTAACTACTTGGTAATATATAAATGAATAGTAGTGCTGTCTCCAGTCAACAGCAGTCCTTAACCTTTGCAGCAGTGGTGTGGAGTGGCACAAAGTAGCCAGGCTTTATTGTAGATCTGATCTCCCTTTCATTCTGGATTATTTTCTCTGTATAGAAAATGTTTGTTCCTGGCGTTCCCCTGTCCCATCCCTTCCGCTCCTTCTCTGCCTGGGGCCGCCCACAAACAGTCTTGCAGAACACTAACAAAAGGGGCCAGTTTAAAACTGCTTTAGTTGTTTGGTGCAAGCACGTGTGGAAACCAGCCTTTGGATTTCTTTCCCCCTCTCTGGGTTTTATGGAAAGCAGAAGGTATATCATAAAGGGCAGATGTTTTTTTTCCCCTGTGCAGTGCTCTGTGCTTCACAAAACTGAAGAGGGAGATGAGCAGAAATAATTAGAGAGCTTTATCTTGGGGAAAGGTGCAACCCTTCCTAATTAACCCTCACAGCCCACCTGTGGGGCAGGTACTGTAGAAATATTAATTACCCTCTTGTAGAGAGGAGCTGGCAGGTGGCATATTTGATCCCAGATTTTTTATTTTCTAGATAGGTATCTGAAGTGCTAGGCCTTTGCAGCCAAGGCCTGTCACTTATTTGAGCTGCTGAAGAATGTAGCTACTAGTAATTCTTTGCACATATATACCCATTTGATTATGGGTAGGTCCCATAAGTGCATGACAAGTCAGGTATGCATTAATTGCTCCTAATGTAAAGCAACCTACTTTCTTAGATTTTGTTCCCTGACAGAGTCCTGGATGCTCGAACGTGCCTTTGGATCTGGAAGTAGGTTAAACCACTTCCCACTGCGGTGGCTGTAGCTGCTGTAGTGCCGTGCTATGGACAGGCTCCGGAGTTCTACGGCGAGGCAGCTACCTCCTGAACTAGAAGCAGCATAGCTGCATTTACAGAGCACAGTGCCTGGGCTAATTCACTCTGCCTCTCACCAGTGCCAGTTAGTGTAGTCCTGAATGTTCACACAGTCAGTGCTGAGAGGCTGACCTAAATAGCTGGCATAGGCATGGCCCCACATGTACACAGCTATCCCAAGTCTGGTTCAGGGGGTAGCCTGCAGGAGTTGCTGTGTTCCTGTGACCCCAGCAGCTTCCTGCTGTGTCTTCTCAGGATGCAGCAGGACACTGTCGGCCACCTGTCTGGGACTAATTTTCAAACTTGGGGTGAAAGTTCTACTTCAGGAGACCCTTGGGGATACTGGCCTCCTTCTCTCCCTCCCCACAATTTGGAGCAGTCCTGGAGAGTCTGAGCCGGAGTAGGAGGTGTAGGTATTTCACTCAAAGGCTTGCTGAACTGTGTGCATACCTTGGACTCTGGAGACCTGTTGTAGCTTAATCAAGCAGTTTGAAACTGCATTTGTATCTTCATACACACTGCCTTTTAGCCATCCTTGTATTAATTCAGCTGGGCATATTTTTCAGAATCCCTTGTTTAAGGGTTTCCCTACTTCTGCTGTCTTTCCACCCAACCTACAGCATAAAGTTACCTCTGCTTAGTCTAATAAGCTGAGAGTGTCAGCTGTGTAGTCTCCTATAGCAGAGATCCTAGAGAAGGATGGTGGAATTGGTTGGCTATGTGTAGTGGGTCACATGCATTGCTGCCGTAACCCCAGTAGACTTCCATGAAGTTGCATGTAGTAGGGATGAATTTAGTCCAACCTGTATTTTATTTGCCTTGTAAATGTTTTGTGAGCAATGCCTTTAAAAGGGTACATTTGAGAGGGCGTTGGGAGTGTTTCCCTGCCAAAAGATTTTTGCCTGTGTGTTTGCATAAACACTGGGTTGATATGACATTGCTCTTTTTCCTTAGGGACTAATTTCAATCAATCGGTCAATCAATTGGTCAATCTTTTGAGGTCAGATTGAAAATAAAAAAATAATGTATCCCTTTATAATCTTTTTGTTATCAAACTGATAAATGGTAGGTAATATTTGTGTCTTACCAAGGACTGTTTAAATAGTTTTTTTGTGTTTATTTTAAGCAGGAAATGTTGTGTTGTACACATGGTGCTGTTAAGTGACATGCTTCAGACATGGCACGTTCCAGGATACCGGAGGATTTTTCCTTTAAAAAAAGGGGGCGGCAGAAACAACCCAGTGACACACATTATTTCATTCCACTTTTAAAGTCAGGAGAGTCTTTTCATAGAAGTTGGACTGGGCTCACAAACCCCAATCCTGCAAACACTTCTACTTCTTCCCCTTCCCTTTTGCATCCCTGTTAAATTCAGTGAAGTTAGGGCCATAGTAAGTACAAGATCTGTTATTAATTTGGAATAAGCTGCTTAGGGATTTTTTAAATCAATGATTCCTGTACATGATCGTTACTCTTTTTGGCTCTCTGCAGCCCAGACAAGTATGTCACTGGCAGGATTTGCATCAATAATGCTGAGATGCACTGCAGCATCTCTGTTGGAGGTTAAGAGCAACCTATGTGAAAGCTTATAGGAAGAATCCCCAGCTCTATGCTGTACCCCTAGCTGCACAAGTTAACTATAAAGTTCATAGCCCATTCAAAGGAATCAACAAGGCACTCTGTCAGCACCCATAATGCACAGATATAGGTTTAAAGCATGCTCTAGGGCTTATGCAGAGGTGGGCATGTGGCCTGCGAGGCCATTCTGTCCGGCCTGTGGGGCCCCTAAAAAATTTAGAAAATTAATGTTTATCTGCCCCGGCTGCCTGTCGTGTCCCTCGATGGCTTCCCAAAACTCAGTATACGGCTCTCCGCCCAATATAATTGCCCGCCACTAGTTTATAGCATGGTTCAACATAATTTGTCCATGTGGATCCTGACACTGCAATATGTTACACCATAAAATCTGCTGCCACCTTCTTATCCTTGATCTTTACCTACTGGAATAATCTGTGCCTAATTTGACAAAACTAGACCTACTAGTCTGGGCAGCTACTGGTTGGAACCAGTAACAACTTCAGTCTTAGAAATGGTTTTAACGTCAACAGAATAAGTGAATGCAATTAACACTTCCAGCTAGATCAGTGAAAATAAAATGTGCCAACAGAAATTGAGGCAGTGTTCCCACTATTAAAAAACCCTCCATCAATTACCCTACTATTTAAAAACAAAATCATAATTGTCTCTTCAATAAAACAGTGACCTTTGTAGTCAATTTAGGAGTGTTTGTTCTAAACATCAGTTTAGAAGAGAGGCATTTTTTTTCATATTGATCCTTAGATGATGGCTTTTCTGCAAAACTGTGTAGAGATTTTTCCTTCTGCTTCTCTGAGGGTTTTGGAGAAACTTAAGTTCTGATTCTTATTTCTATTACTTTTTCCTATATACATTTTTCATTTCTTTGATCAGTTAGGGCAGGGGCTGGAAACCTTTTCCCTCTGTGGACTGGAACAATCCAGCTTCAGTCCAGCATAGGCCTGGTGGCTTCAGCAGCGCGTCAGCAGCAAGTGGGGATTGCCTGTACCTGTGCTGGGTTCAGGGAGCTGGAAGCTGTGCAGGCACTGTCTCTTTTCCTGGCTGGCATGTGAGCTGCACTGGTGCTGGGCAACTGGGAACTGCATGTGCATTGCTGCTGCTGCCACTTCCCCCCAGCTTCCTGCTCTCCAGCTGAGGCATGATCACAATGGCCGGGCAGCTTGACACTGCATCCACATCACTGCCAGCTCTGCCTTGCCTTTACCAGCTGCAGACTGGAAGCTGCTCAGTACCAACTTAGTTCTTCACTGGCTGGAAGTGGCATTCCTGCTAAAGTCAGAGGGCAGGGGGTGGAGAGAAGTGGCAGCAATGCAGGCACTGCTCCTAGCTGCCTGGCCCCAGCACAGCTTCTCACTACGTAGCTCCAGTATGAGCATGGGCAGAGGCAAGACCATCTGGATTTGCAGGCAACATCTAGTGGCTCCACAGGCCAGGTTCAGTCTGTGGGCTATATGTTGCTGACCCTGAGTTGGAACTCTTCCCTTTGTTCTTAATTTCTTTTTGGCTGAAACTTCTGTGGTTTGTTACTTTATTATATTAGTCAAATTCAGATGAAGTTGAGCCTGAACACCCTGTAGAAAACGTCTGTGCAAATCATATGATTTGTGTGTGAAAAAAATGCTCGCTCCAGTTGTGTGGTTAGATAATCAAGGGAAATAACTAAAAGAGACTGGCTCATTGAAGACTTTGGGAAGAGGTGTTAAAGCAACCAATTTGAAATGAGGTGTGTTAAGGGAAGAAGGGAAAGAATCAAGGGAAGGATTCCTCCAACCTCCCCAGCTGTAGTTTTTTGATAGCTCTTTTGGGAGCCACATAAGTGACAGTGTTCATTCACTCCTGAGAAATCCAAAAATCATTCTAAAACTAATTTCTTTTCTCTTTTTAATAGGTCATCGCACAACGAGCTAGAAAAACATAGGTAAGTCACGAGCAAAACATGCAATAATTTAAAAAAGTATTGCTGGACATGAGAGTGACCGCAGATAGAAAGGGATAATGTGTTGGAAATGCTGAGTTACCTGTGTAGTGTATTGAATGAACAATCTGAACTTCTCAGGGTGACAAAGTTAAGTGGATTTCTCTAGTATTCAGTATGCTGGCAATGACATTTCTCAAATACTGTAGTAACGATTGGTTAATTCTGAACCTTATGAATGTAGCAATGCTATTAAAGAAGCTGATTCCACTAACTGCTTGTTAGTAACCTTGATGTGTTACAAACAATATAAATTGAGGTACAGTGGTTAGGCTTTAAAAATTGGGAAGAATACATTGTGTAGAATTACTCTGAAAGTCAATTTCTGTATGCTTTTTAGTGGTCACCTTTAGCCTTATACTGAAACTCCTGCAGATGAATTTCTCATTAAGTCAGCTTCCTTGCTGAGATGGGTTTCATCCAGAAGATTGTGTTCCAGGCTGGAAACCAGCAACTCCTGAGCTGCAACTGTGGAGGTGTTTCTTGAATGCTGTGAAAAAAATGTATATATGTGTCAGTGAAGTTCAGGATCGCTTCTATTTTTTTCTTTTAAGGCCAGAATTTCTAACAGCCTTTTCCTGCCTGTGCCAGCAGCTGCCCATGCAAAAGTTGTGTGCATGTCTGGGAAGTCTTGTTTGCCATCTGCTGTATGTGACCTATGTGTAGGTGGGCTCTTCAGCAATAGTGACTCCTTAAGATGTACTGACTATAGCAGATGGGACATACCTTACACTTCCTTTCAGCCTGTAGGTTCAGTTTTCTTTCACGTCTCTAACGCTGTGGTTCTCAGACTTTTTAGACTTGAGGTATGCCCTGACAGATTCGAGGCACCCCTCAGAAAATGCCATGTCTTAGTTTTCACTCAGGTTTTGACTACAGAAAATATTACAGCAATTCTTTTGCTGCAGAGAAATCAGAAAGACCACAACAGTCGGGATGTTTTTAACACTATGGACTCCTATTTGAAAACTCTGGGTTTGTCTTGTGAATCACATGTGTGCACCTAACAGTGATAACATTGCATGGCACCCTGCAGCACCCTTGAAAGGATCTCAAGGCATGCCAGGTTGCACCCTGGTTGAGAATCACTGCTGTAACACCACAGCGTGGCCTGTCTTTCTGCTCATTTAGTGAGTGTCTGCTGGACTTTGGGCATTGCAAGAAGGGTGTGTGGCAAGTGTATAACCCTGAACCTAGATCCATTTGTATGCCTTTGAATACGAGAAGGGTGCTATTACTGAGGAAGGTGAATCTGTAACACTGACACTTCCTCTCCAGTCCTGTCCCGCAGTTGGATGTACACACTTAAATAGCTGTTTGCCATTAGAATTCCCCTCATAGGAACTGCTGGCTGGAAGTAGTTTCCCAGATCTGGAATGCTAGTTTCCTCACACGTTTCTTTTCATTTCTGTAGTTTAAACTTGATGTGACTGGATCGTGGCCCATACTAGCCCATCATCATCTTTGTGACAGGAGAAATTGGGGAAGCTTGTGGCCCTCTCTGTAGTTCTGAGCAGCGGGGCACTGTGCACTGGCAAAGACATGTATGTGCAGCAGGCTAAATGGTAGACTTGGATGGATCATCAGATGAATACCTGAGACCAAGCTCTCATGTCTTTCAGTTACCTTTGTGTGATCCTACAGGAATTTTTGAGGGAAGAATTTTGCCCTAAATACTTATCATCCCTTTCATTCTTTCATTTTCCTCCTCTATGCAATCTCATCCTTGCTTCCCCTCCTCTGTCACCATTGATCTGCAATGTCTGTAATGAGTGCCCCTCTCCCCAATTCCTCTTTATTAACACAGCATGTGGTTTCCTTTTCCTCCCTCTGCACAAGTCCTGAGTGTGTTTGAGCAGCACAGCATGGACAAGGTTTTAGTATCTCGTGCAGGTGCAGAGACAGAAGTCTTTTTATCATTCAGGTGAAGTTTCTCATTTGAGTTCTGCAGCATACCCACTTTTCACATGCGAGTTCCATAGTGTTTGCCCCATTGGCTTTTCCCCTTGGCAGTTTGCTCGCTTTCACCTTGGCACTTTGAGATAGTGTCTCATTGTGTCACTGATATTTCATTGCAAGTACACACTGCAGGCCCTGAAGTTGTATATACTTAGAGGCAAGTTTTCAGGTATCATAATCCCACTTACGAACATGAATGTGCCAAATTTGTATTAGTGTGTGTGTGTGCAAACCTGTACTCATATCAGCTGAGTGCCTCAGATTCCACTTCCGCACCCATTATCTGTGTTGAACAAATATGTGCCATTTTGTAATTTATATACAATATTTAGGCTATACACAATTTACAGATACTCATTTTTGTTAATGTTTCATTCAAATTCATGAAATATCCCCAGAAGGGTTAGTGATTTACAGTTGTAATAGGTCTCTGTAGCTTCATGAAGCTCCATGACAGCAGAGTTTGCTTCCTATTGCAGAGGTAGTAGGTATTCCCTCTCCAGAAGCTGTAGAGCATCTGTTGATGATTCCATATATGCTTCTTTTCCAGGACCAGTGACTTTGACTCAGCGTGGTCAGGTTGCTTTTTGGCTCAAGTACCCTTGGTGAATCTGACTAAAACTTCCATCTTTGTTGGCCAGGAAGGAAAAAAGGAGACCAAAACTCATCTTCTGCCTGCGTTGGTGTCCTCTAGTAATGGTGGATAAGTCAGTCCGCTCCTCCACTTGCTAGTAACAACTGAAAAAATTGATCCAACTCTATTCATTTCCCCAGCTGGAGTCTGTGAGATGGGTGTGGAGCTGGAAAGGAGGAAAATGGCTTCCTGAATTCCCCACCCACCTTTTTCAACAACGCCATCCATCCAGAGTTGGAATAAAACAGACAGTTGTAGTAGCTCCCCACTGGTATGCAGTGCCACTCAGGTTGTACAGAAATCATCTCCCTGTAAAGTCAGTAGCAGAATCTCCTTCATTGACCTCAGTGAGACCAGAACTGTTCCACCTGGCCTTTGCACCTTTGTTTCCAGGAGAAGCTGTGAAGGGTCAGATCAGGAAGGGATGCAGCACAAGCCACATCTCCTTCCTTTTTTTAGGCTTACCAGAGGACCCTAATGGATGCAGGAGAACACATGCATGCCACAGCTCTTCTAGGTCTGGCTTATCATGAGGCACATTAGGACACTTTTACCTGGTGATAGCAGTAGTGACATCTGGTTCAGAACCACCGAGATAAGTTGAGGCAGCACAACACTGTTTCTCAACCTGGGGAACCAGCAAATTCAAAAAAATCTGGGGAGACTCTCTATATAAAGTGTAGACATTAAAAAGAACCCAACTGTTTGGTATCAGTTTGGCTGTTCTGGGGCTTCTTTGTAGCTTAAACTCTCATTTTCTCGGTGCATGTTTTTTTCTGTGCTCTTGCTAGGGCATTGAGAGTAGTACAAATAGATGGATGCATTTGTGTAGGGGCCTAGGCGAGGTGACCCTGGAGGTCCTTTCACCCCTGTGATTCTATGAATTCTATGAGGCAGGACCTCCACTTGATT